TTTGGTGCAATTTTTAAAAATTAAATTAAAAATTAAATTAAAAAGATTATATTTTTAATTTGATGTTAATGACAAGCACAAAGAGTTTCATTTGTTCTTATTTTAAAGTTTACTTAATCCAAATTTCACGTTTCAGTCTTCAATTAGTATTAGAATTTAATAAACCACAAACATGTATTTATGAAAGTACTTGAAGTACAAGTAATTGAAACATTGCACTTCATAGGAATTTATCAAAATATGATTGATTGCAAATATTATTCATCAGAATTTAAATTGTGAATTTAACGAAGCAGATGAATGAACGATTTATTTGTTATATTTTATTGTCAATAATAGTCCTTCTGTTCATTCCACCTCTGTATAATCTGTCTCTTATACACATCTAGATGTGTATAAGAGACAGGTATACATATATGTTGCGTGAAACAATTATGATAGGCATTATGTTGTAAAAAAGATAATTTTTCATTATTTATAGCGTAAGAAAAAAAAACCATTTATCATTTTACTCAATATTCATTTATATTCATATCTACGTGTACAAGATGATATAAATTAATTTGAAGTATTATATAACACTTGTCGTATTTAATGTATAAAATTAATGCTACATTTAATGTTTGTATATAATCTGTCTCTTATACACATCTAGATGTGTATAAGAGACAGGTATACATATATGTTGCGTGAAACAATTATGATAGGCATTATGTTGTAAAAAAGATAATTTTTCATTATTTATAGCGTAAGAAAAAAAAACCATTTATCATTTTACTCAATATTCATTTATATTCATATCTACGTGTACAAGATGATATAAATTAATTTGAAGTATTATATAACACTTGTCGTATTTAATGTATAAAATTAATGCTACATTTAATGTTTGTATATAATCTGTCTCTTATACACATCTAGATGTGTATAAGAGACAGGTATACATATATGTTGCGTGAAACAATTATGATAGGCATTATGTTGTAAAAAAGATAATTTTTCATTATTTATAGCGTAAGAAAAAAAAACCATTTATCATTTTACTCAATATTCATTTATATTCATATCTACGTGTACAAGATGATATAAATTAATTTGAAGTATTATATAACACTTGTCGTATTTAATGTATAAAATTAATGCTACATTTAATGTTTGTATATAATCTGTCTCTTATACACATCTAGATGTGTATAAGAGACAGGTATACATATATGTTGCGTGAAACAATTATGATAGGCATTATGTTGTAAAAAAGATAATTTTTCATTATTTATAGCGTAAGAAAAAAAAACCATTTATCATTTTACTCAATATTCATTTATATTCATATCTACGTGTACAAGATGATATAAATTAATTTGAAGTATTATATAACACTTGTCGTATTTAATGTATAAAATTAATGCTACATTTAATGTTTGTATATAATCTGTCTCTTATACACATCTAGATGTGTATAAGAGACAGGTATACATATATGTTGCGTGAAACAATTATGATAGGCATTATGTTGTAAAAAAGATAATTTTTCATTATTTATAGCGTAAGAAAAAAAAACCATTTATCATTTTACTCAATATTCATTTATATTCATATCTACGTGTACAAGATGATATAAATTAATTTGAAGTATTATATAACACTTGTCGTATTTAATGTATAAAATTAATGCTACATTTAATGTTTGTATATAATCTGTCTCTTATACACATCTAGATGTGTATAAGAGACAGGTATACATATATGTTGCGTGAAACAATTATGATAGGCATTATGTTGTAAAAAAGATAATTTTTCATTATTTATAGCGTAAGAAAAAAAAACCATTTATCATTTTACTCAATATTCATTTATATTCATATCTACGTGTACAAGATGATATAAATTAATTTGAAGTATTATATAACACTTGTCGTATTTAATGTATAAAATTAATGCTACATTTAATGTTTGTATATAATCTGTCTCTTATACACATCTAGATGTGTATAAGAGACAGGTATACATATATGTTGCGTGAAACAATTATGATAGGCATTATGTTGTAAAAAAGATAATTTTTCATTATTTATAGCGTAAGAAAAAAAAACCATTTATCATTTTACTCAATATTCATTTATATTCATATCTACGTGTACAAGATGATATAAATTAATTTGAAGTATTATATAACACTTGTCGTATTTAATGTATAAAATTAATGCTACATTTAATGTTTGTATATAATTGAAAATACAAAAACTGTGTATAAGAGGAAGTACCACAATCTCCAGAAATTGATTTTCTTAAAATGAAATGTAACATTCATTTCGTTTTATAAATTTACAATTTCTTAAACAGTACAAATGTACGTTTAGTTATTAATTTTAACATAAGTTCAAATACATTATTTACAAAAAATGCACCGATAAAGCGTTGCTATATTTATATATTAGTCGCGATATATTATCAATTTGTGCATTTAAGCGCAAATCCCTATCTCTCACTCGCTCGTTCATTCAATTACTCACGGATTTACACCAAAATAATTTGTTTGTGTGTATGTTTATTTGTTTTCAATAAGAAACGCGAAAATTAATTTATATATCAATGCTACAGTGTAAAACAATACTCAATTACTTTTAATTATTTTCATTTGATAAACTATCAAGATTTAAAAGTATTATTGTGAAAAAACATAATTTAAATATACACAAACATTTCATATCAATATAAGGTTTATTCTGTTATTACTATCTGCGAATATATGTATATATATATATATGTATATATATATATATACCAATATCTATATATATATTTATATATATATATATATTTATATATATATATATATATATCTTTATCGTCAACTCGCTCAGTTTGAAAACCTACATTATACTTTATACATAAAAATGTTTATGATATTGTCATACCTGCGTTTTGTACTATTCGTGCAGTAGTTGCTGCAGGAGTTTCACCCGATCCTGATCCTGTTGTAGATACACTAGCACAATCTACCTCATCTCGCTTGCCATCTAATCTATAAAATTTTAATTACATATATTAAATACTTTTAAATTTAAATCTGTTACAAGACATATTTTTCTGAATCAGCCTATTCTGAAATACAGATAATCCTCACATAACACAACATTCCTATTGTTGCAAAGTAATTTCGATTTTCCAAATAAATACTTAACTTAAAAAAAAAATTTCACTGAGATGAATGAGTTTATATTAAAATTTTTGCTAAAGTTTTTCATTTTAACAAATGTAAACCATAAAAATATTAAATTTAAAATAAAATTGATATTTGATTAAGTTTCTCATATTCATATATCAACTAATAATAAAAAACG